TATAGACTGTACTATAGACTAGAATATAGACTATAGACTAACCTATACAGTAGATTAGACTATAGATTACACTATAGCCTAGACTGTACTATAGGGTACTCTATAGCCTAGACTATACTATACACTACACTAAAGACTAGACAATAGATCAGAATATAGTCTAGCCTTTAAAGAGTATTGATAAAGAGAGAGAGAGAGACTGAAAGCAACAGAATTAGAACAGAATCCTTTTTAAGTTTTAATGAAATCATTTAAAATGCAGTGTTTGTGGTTTGAATTGCAACGAGCGAGCGAATACGTTACATAATGTTTAAAGGAAGGAAGCCATACAAGTAGAAAAAATGGAAAAAATGGAAAATAATATATAAAAATAATGACAGGAAATTTTTACTATGTTTAACAAATTCTAAAAGACATGAGTACAGGCAACAAAAATAACGCAGTAGTTTAAGTCAGCGTACAAAGCAATATAGTTAGAAAAGTAGAGTTCGACAAAATATTTAATAATGAATTAGATTAAGAAGTAGGGAACAAGAAAGAATTTAAGGTGTCATGTTGAGCTTTTGATTGATGTCGACTGTTACAAAGTGGTTCCAATTTTGAGTATTCTTAGAAATAATAATAGAAAAATTTCGGTTATCAAAAAATTTAAAATTTTGTTTTCAACATTTCACAAAAGGATACTTTTAAAAGTGCAAGCAATATTGTGCAAAGTTTAATGATGGATTAAGGAATTAAGTTTTGATTTGTTGTTATTAGTAGTTTATAAAGTTATCTGATTTCCGGTATCTCTAAAAGTAAGCTTTCTATATAAAATTTCAAGTCAAAATATTTACAAGTTTGAGCTCATTTAAAATGCATGCAAATTGTTAGATATTTGATGGGATTTTGGAAGCTTATAATGTTGTCTTTTAAACAAATTCAGAAAAGTTTACGAATTTAAAAAATTATTGATTTTTGTAGAAAATTTGCAAAAATAACTTCAATTTTGTTCAAATTCAGGGAAACAGTTTGTTCCAGGGCAATTTTTTTTAAAGAATTTGTTGAAGCGTTTACGAGCACTTTGCCCTCCAATGCATTTATTTCTAGTACATCCCTTTGTAAAACAGTAATTATTTTAGGCAAATAATATTTGTAACATTTACAAATAACTGGAAAAAAGAGAAAGCACAACAACTACATTAATAACAATAACGCTGAAAATGAATAATAGTTTTTTTCTGGTTAAACAAAACAAAAAAAAAAAAATCGAAAAATATAAAAAAAAATCCGAGAAAGGGAAGTATAATATTAAACAAAGACTAAAGGAAATATAATATTTTGTTAAAGGATGTAAAAAAACAAAGCATTCTTTCTCTCTCTTTATATAACAAATGATTATCTTTGTAATTTATATGAAAGAAAAAAAAAAAAAAAAAAACAGCGCCTAAAAGTATGCTTTGTTTAATGATTTTAAACAAAAGCCTAAAAGTAGGCTTTTATTATAAGCATACAAATACACACATAATTAAACATTTTAATTGCTTTTAAAAAGCAAAAAGAGCCACACAAACAAAAACAACAACAAGTTTATAAATATATACATATATATTTTCTTAATATTTTTTCCAATAATTATTTATATTATATATGATTTTGACATACTTCTCTTGTTGCTCCTGCTCTCCCCCCTTTGAGTCTTAACAAGTATTTGCTTTCATTTCTTATTCTTAGGCGGCCATTTTCATCTTGAAAATCCATTTAAAATGAAGCTGAATTGTTACGTTTTTATTTTTATATATTTTTTATTTTCTACTATACATTATTTCCTTTTGTTGTTTTCTTTTATTGTATTGTGAACAATTTTCCTCCTTTTTTTCGTTGAAATATATTATAATATTTTTTTAATGGTTATAAATGAGTATAATGGATTTTTTCCATCAACGCCATCATTTGCAGTTTCATTTTTCGCTATAGCATTATGTAGGGCTCTTTAACAAACGGATATCCATTGCATATTTTTAGGTAAATAGAAAAAAATAAGTATTTTAACATAGATTTTCAACAATACCTAAATTTTGAGTTAAAAAAGTTAATGGCAGTAAAATTACTTATTTATAAATGTTCAACTACTGAAAGCCATAAAACTTTAAAAACACTTTCTTTATGATAAAGTATTTAATTAACAAAAAATCATTTACTTTAATCTTTCCAAAAATATGAATTTAAAACCTTATTTGCTTAAAAAAAAACAACATAAATAAATTCCCAGTGTTAAAGTCAGTATAAACCCCACACTTTTTGGTTTTTTAAGAAAAATCAACAACAGCAACAATTTTTGCAAAAAAATATAACATCTGTAATGGTTTTAAGTTGTTGCTGGCATTAAAAAAAAAAAAAAAATTAAATGAAATAAAAAAATCTGAAAAAATATGTACAATTTTTGGACCAACTCTACAAATAAAGACTAAATAAAGCTTAAGCTTAAATAAATATACTCTGGGAGGAGTCTAACCAACACACACACACACACACACCTCAACAAATTTCATTTAAACAAAAATATCCTTTTTGGTGTGTTGTATGGGTTGTTGTTGTCATTTTCATATCATTTGTATTGTGTAGGGGAAATATTGAAGACCTATGACTACAAATAGGTCCTTTGGACTAATGACTGAACTAGAACTGAACTAGAACTAAACTAGACTGAACTAGACTGAACTAGAATGAACTAGAACTGAACTAGAACTGACTAGAACTGAACTAGAACTGAACTGAAACTGAACTAGAACTAGCCTAGAACTGAACTAGAACTGAACTAGAACTGAACTAGAACTGAACTAGAACTGAACTAGAACTGAACTAGAACTGAACTAGAACTGAACTAGAACTGAACTAGAACTGAACTAGAACTGAACTAGAACTGAACTAGAACTGAACTAGAACTGAACTAGAACTGAACTAGAACTGAACTAGAACTGAACTAGAACTGAACTAGAACTGAACTAGAACTGAACTAGAACTGAACTAGAACTGAACTAGAACTGAACTAGAACTGAACTAGAACTGAACTAGAACTGAACTAGAACTGAACTAGAACTGAACTAGAACTGAACTAGAACTGAACTAGAACTGAACTAGAACTGAACTAGAACTGAACTAGAACTGAACTAGAACTGAACTAGAACTGAACTAGAACTGAACTAGAACTGAACTAGAACTGAACTAGAACTGAACTAGAACTGAACTAGAACTGAACTAGAACTGAACTAGAACTGAACTAGAACTGAACTAGAACTGAACTAGAACTGAACTAGAACTGAACTAGAACTGAACTAGAACTGAACTAGAACTGAACTAGAACTGAACTAGAACTGAACTAGAACTGAACTAGAACTGAACTAGAACTGAACTAGAACTGAACTAGAACTGAACTAGAACTGAACTAGAACTGAACTAGAACTGAACTAGAACTGAACTAGAACTGAACTAGAACTGAACTAGAACTGAACTAGAACTGAACTAGAACTGAACTAGAACTGAACTAGAACTGAACTAGAACTGAACTAGAACTGAACTAGAACTGAACTAGAACTGAACTAGAACTGAACTAGAACTGAACTAGAACTGAACTAGAACTGAACTAGAACTGAACTAGAACTGAACTAGAACTGAACTAGAACTGAACTAGAACTGAACTAGAACTGAACTAGAACTGAACTAGAACTGAACTAGAACTGAACTGAACTAGAACTGAACTAGAACTGAACTAGAACTGAACTAGAACTGAACTAGAAACTGAACTAGAACTGAACTAGAACTGAACTAGAACTGAACTAGAACTGAACTAGAACTGAACTAGAACTGAACTAGAACTGAACTAGAACTGAACTAGAACTGAACTAGAACTGAACTAGAACTAGAACTGAACTAGAACTGAACTAGAACTGAACTAGAACTGAACTAGAACTAACTGAACTAGAACTAAACTAGAACAGAACTAGAACTGAACTAGAACTGAACTAGAACTGAACTCGAACTGAACTAGAACTGAACTAGATCTGAACTGAACTAGAACTGAACTAGATCTGAACTGAACTAGAACTGAACTAGAACTGAACTAGAACTGAACTAGAACTGAACTAGAACTGAACTAGAACTGAACTAAAACTGAACTAGAACTGAACACTGAACTGGAACGGAACTGGAATTATAACTGAAACTGAACTAGAATTATAACTGGAGACTTTCGTAGTCTTGTTTTCATTTTTAGAAATTTTCTTTTAATCTCACCCAAGACTATATTCATTTTGTATTTTATAGTATTTGCCTTACTTTTTCTTTTAAATCTTTGTTGTTTTTCTGTTACTGTTGGTTGTTACCATTGGCCCATTGTTGCTTGGCACCCACTTGGGAAACATTTGTCAAGTATACAGTAAATACCATTTTGACTTATGAGTCGCGCGTAACACCCCGGGTCGGTTGTGTGTATGGTGTTAATATTTATATTTGCACATACATGAACATATGACCCAGTAGTTTTAGAAGATTACAATGTAACCCTTTTTGGATATGTTGCGTTTTTATCAGTGCACTAGACTAAGTGCACCCTAAAATTCCCATTGGTATTGTGGAATCAAAAAGAAGTTAATTGATCACTTAGATTTAATCAAGTTTGGAGTCAATTGTAACATTGGTATCAGTTCCTTTTGGAACACATTCATAACCCTTAGCCAATTCTACTTTTATTACTACTTTGAGATTGTCACTAAAAATTGCAGGGTTAGTAGTAGAGCTTATGTATGGATGTGTTTGTTTTCACTGTGGTTTTCTTTAGTTTTTTGTTTTTCTTCAAGTACCATACTTCCGTGTTAAGATTAGTGTAAATATTTACTTTTATTACTTTGCGAGAAAAATAAACTCTTTTTTGTATATAAAAAACGAGTGTAGGATTTTCGTGTACTTTTTTCACTTTAATTTACTACATTAAAATGGTTATAATGACCAGAGAAACATATGGCTTAAGACCAGGTAAATTATTTATATTTATTGTTTTGCATATAAAATACATTTTCATTTAAATATAGTCACCAACAAAAGTTGGCAGACACATGTAAAAATTAAAAAGTTATCAATCTAATTTATAATTGAAATAATCGGGAAAATGTTGCAGCCAAAATTCATAGTTCTTAAAATTTCGTCCTTCCACATACTCGATATTATCCTTGATCAAGGCATAGGATTGGGGATAAGGTTTGGCCTTGGTGTCGGAAAGTTTTCTATAAAAAGTAATAATAAAAGTAGAGCGAAGAACTTTATAACTTGAACTTTATAACTTTATAACATTATAACTTTATAACATTATAACATTATAACTTTATAACTTTATAACTTTATAACTTTATAACTTTATAACTTTATACTTTATAACTTTATAACTTTATAACTTTATAACTTTATAACTTTATAACTTTATAACTTTATAACTTTATAACTTTATAACTTTATAACTTTATAACTTTATAACTTTATAACTTTATAACTTTATAACTTTATAACTTTATAACTTTATAACTTTATAACTTTATAACTTTATAACTTTATAACTTTATAACTTTATAACTTTATAACTTTATAAGTTTATAACTTTATAACTTTATAACTTTATAACTTTATAACTTTATAATTTTATAACTTTATAACTTAACCCAACTAACTTACCCATTCTTAACAAAATCGTATATAAATCCCGTATAAAGTTGTATAATTTTCTTTTGAATTTCCGAGTCATGTTTTCGTCCCGGCCAATTAAACAAATATTGAAAATCTATCATGTGTTCACAGCGAGCTGAAGATTTGTTTAAAATATATAAATAAATTTTTTGTAAAAGTTCATGCGTTCCTAGAAAGATGTATAATTAAGTACAAATAAAATACAGAGTAAAAAATCAAAGTCCACATTAAGACCAAACCAATATCTTTAAACATTTAAGTATACTTTCAGTTGTTTACTCCAGTTTTGTTTATTTATAAAAATCAAATACTTTACCTTGTTTATCCTTATACATATCCTCATTATTGGTATAATCTTCCATAAATGTGAACTCATAAAAATATACTTTTCCCCCGTTTTCTGATAAGAAATCAGCCAATTTGTGTGAACCAAAGCGTAGAATGGCATCAGAGAATACATCACATAGAGCATCATAATCTTTTAGTGTGAAATTCGTACTTCCATTAAAATACTTTGCTACAATTGCCTCTGTAATCACATCCCTTTTGGGATGTCTTTCGTACATAAAAGTTCGAGGAGCCAAAGTCGGAAATTCTTGTGAAAATTTCGTTTTCACAGATTTCACCTCTAAAATATCTTTAGCCGATAGACAAAGTTCTCCATTTGTATAGCCCATGAGTACATTTTTGCGAGCTACTTTCAAATTTTCGGTAAGAAAACGTTCCTGCTGAAAATCTCTTTCAATTACAGGCAGCCATAAGATAATGGGATTGTCTTTACCAAAATCAAACATTAATCTTAAACTTTTGCCTATAACAGTGCCATTATGCCGACTAAGACACTCTAAAATATCTTCATTTTTAACCTCTTCATAGTCTGAGAATTTGAAATCCACACCATAGGGTTTCTCTTCTTGTATAGCCTGAAATTTTTCACATTTTAAACCTTTGGCCAAACGTACCGCCAAATATTTTTGTTGTCCCTGTGGCAAAAAGGCCTGTGGCGCTACCGAACCACTCATTAGGATGGCCTTATGAAAGAGATCTTTACTCATGTCCGACATTAAGTGAACTTGAACACTAAGCGCTCCAGCACTGTAACCCATTAGTGTGACATCTTGGGGATTACCACCAAAATTTTCTATGAACTTTTGAACCCATCTCAAGGCATAAACTTGATCTTTAAAGCCGGCATTTCCGGGTATATCGGGAGTTCCCAGATTAAGAAACCCCAAGGGACCCAAACGATGATTGAATGTTACCAATACCACATTCTGGGTCATCATATGACCAGGTCTCATATAATAACTGGCACCACTGCCCAAGTACAAACCGCCGGGGTGTATTAGAACCACTACGGGTAATAGTTGTGCGGGCTTCAACTAGAACAGTGTTAAAGGAGGGAATTTAAAGAGGTTTTATTGGAAATGGTTCGTTTTACCTGTTTGGTGTAAACATTTAAATTTAAACAGTCTTCTGAACCATTGCGGGCCGTCTCCGAGCAGCATTCGTAACCATCGTGAGTGGCATCTAAAGTGCCTTCAAATTTTTCAAGTTTTTGAGGGTCCTGAAAATTAAAAAAAAAAACCTATTTGTTATTTGAACACAAGTTAACCGTTATTAGAACTTTATAACTTTATAACTTTATAACTTTATAACTTTATAACTTTATAACTTTATAACTTTATAACTTTATAACTTTATAACTTTATAACTTTATAACTTTGTAACTTTATAACTTTATAACTTTATAACTTCATAATCTATACAACTTTATAACTTCATAATCTATACAACTGTTTGTTGCTATGTTTACCTTAAATCTCAGCTCGTTTATCGGTGGCTTGGCGTAAGGTATGCCCCGAAACCCCATATATTCGACATTGGATTCTTGGAATTTTGTGCCAACAATTGAACCTTTGAATTCATTGTTATCTATAAAAACTCGGGGTGTATGTTCGGTATCACATAATGACAAATGTAAACAATTAAACAAAAATAAAACTAACGAAAATTTTAGAAACATTTCCCTAACCGTCCGTTTTAACCCAGTTACAACTAGAGACTGACTGCAATCTCATTAAAGAACATTCATATATAATTAACCAAAGTTCAAGTTCTACGCAGAGATTAAAGAAATTAAATGGAATGAAATATATTTTAAATTAAGAGCAAGAGTTTTGAGATTAATGTATGTACTTTTAAATAGCGGAGAGATAAAGCTGACTCTGAGGCTGAATATAAACAAAACAAAGGCTTAATCTCGTTAGAAAATCAGACTCACAGATTGTGTTCTAAAGTATGTGAGAATAGCATTAAAATTGGTTTTAAATTCGTTTTCAATATTAAATATAACATTTTTATTTTTTACTTTTACATTGATAAATTTGTTTCTTTTCGCAACATTGTAATTATTTATGTACATTGTATGTACCTATGGGAAAATCAACCCCACTCCCTTGTTTTCTTTCCTTGGCTTTCACTTTAAATATTTATATTTTCTTGATTTTTTTTTTTTAATATTTACAAAATGTTCACAATGTTTATAAAATCCTACAAATTGGCTAAATTTGTTAAAGCTAGTAGAATATATGAAATTATAATTAGCTCAAAATGCTGTCAAACATAATTTCAAATATTAAATTATATTTTCAAATACCATCCAAAGCAACCGCTGCAAGCAACATCGTATAGAGACATATTGAAATGATGACAGAGGGGCGCACAATTAGGGAAGGGTTGGCGGAGAATAAATCTACTTGTGTGTAAACATAAATACATTTAAAATTTACATACATTAAGTACATCAAATAATTCTAAATGTGAAAATTAGTGGCACACATAAAACACATGCAACCATGGCATATTTGCAACCGATAGCGCCCCGTCACTATAAATTGGAAAAAAAGTGAGCAATAAAAAATTTGTGTGTACTGAATATGCAAGTATAACCCAATAAACTATTTATCATTTAAATAGGTTTATGTATAGTTATACTTTAAAGTTCTAGTTCGGTTAAAGTTCAGTTCTAGTGCAGTTCTATTTCAGTTCTAGTTCAGTTCTAGTTCAATTCTAGTTCAATTCTAGTTCAGTTCTAGTTCAGATCTTGTTCAGTTCTAGTTCAGTTCTAGTTCAGTTCTAGTTCAGTTCTAGTTCAGTTCTAGTTCACTTCTACTTCACTTCTAGTTCACTTCTAGTTCAGTTCTAGTTCAGTTCTAGTTCAGTTCTAGTTCAGTTCTAGTTCAGTTCTAGTTCAGTTCTAGTTCAGTTCTAGTTCAGTTCTAGTTCAGTTCTAGTTCAGTTCTAGTTCAGTTCTAGTTCAGTTCTAGTTCAGTTCTAGTTCAGTTCTAGTTCAGTTCTAGTTCAGTTCTAGTTCAGTTCTAGTTCAGTTCTAGTTCAGTTCTAGTTCAGTTCTAGTTCAGTTCTAGCTCAGTTCTAGTTCAGTTCTAGTTCAGTTCTAGTTCAGTTCTAGTTCAGTTCTAGTTCAGTTCTAGTTCTAGTTCTAGTTCAGTTCTAGTTCAGTTCTAGTTCAGTTCTAGTTCAGTTCTAGTTCAGTTCTAGTTCAGTTCTAGTTCAGTTCTAGTTCAGTTCTAGTTCAGTTCTAGTTCAGTTCTTTTCAGTTCTTTTTCAGTTCTAGTTCAGTTCTAGTCAGTTCTAGTTCAGTTCTAGTTCAGTTCTAGTTCAGTTCTAGTTCAGTTCTAGTTCAGTTCTAGTTCAGTTCTAGTTCAGTTCTAGTTCAGTTCTAGTTCAGTTCTAGTTCAGTTCTAGTTCAGTTCTAGTTCAGTTTAGTTCAGTTCTAGTTCAGTTCTAGTTCAGTTCTAGTTCAGTTCTAGTTCAGTTCTAGTTCAGTTCTAGTTCAGTTCTAGTTCAGTTCTAGTTCAGTTCTAGTTCAGTTCTAGTTCAGTTCTAGTTCAGTTCTAGTTCAGTTCTAGTTCAGTTCTAGTTCAGTTCTAGTTCAGTTCTAGTTCAGTTCTAGTTCAGTTCTAGTTCAGTTCTAGTTCAGTTCTAGTTCAGTTCTAGTTCAGTTCTAGTTCAGTTCTAGTTCAGTTCTAGTTCAGTTCTAGTTCAGTTCTAGTTCAGTTCTAGTTCAGTTCTAGTTCAGTTCTAGTTCAGTTCTAGTTCAGTTCTAGTTCAGTTCTAGTTCTAGTTCAGTTCTAGTTCAGTTCTAGTTCAGTTCTAGTCAGTTCTAGTTCAGTTCTAGTTCAGTCTAGTTCAGTTCTAGTTCAGTTCTAGTTCAGTTCTAGTTCAGTTCTAGTTCAGTTCTAGTTCAGTTCTAGTTCAGTTCTAGTCTTTCTAGTTCTAGTTCAGTTCTAGTTCAGTTCTAGTTCAGTTCTAGTTCAGTTCTAGTTCAGTTAAGTTCAGTTCTAGTTCAGTTCATAGTTCAGTTCTAGTTCAGTTCTAGTTCAGTTCTAGTTCAGTTCTAGTTCAGTTCTAGTTCCAGTCTAGTTCAGTTCTAGTTCAGTTCTAGTTCAGTTCTAGTTCAGTTCTAGTTCAGTTCTAGTTCAGTTCTAGTTCAGTTCTAGTTCAGTTCTAGTTCAGTTCTAGTTCAGTTCTAGTTCAGTTCTAGTTCAGTTCTAGTTCAGTTCTAGTTCAGTTCTAGTTCAGTTCTAGTTCAGTTCTAGTTCAGTTCTAGTTCAGTTCTAGTTCAGTTCTAGTTCAGTTCTAGTTCAGTTCTAGTTCAGTTCTAGTTCAGTTCTAGTTCAGTTCTAGTTCAGTTCTAGTTCAGTTCTAGTTCAGTTCTAGTTCAGTTCTAGTTCAGTTCTAGTTCAGTTCTAGTTCAGTTCTAGTTCAGTTCTAGTTCAGTTCTAGTTCAGTTCTAGTTCAGTTCTAGTTCAGTTCTAGTTCAGTTCTAGTTCAGTTCTAGTTCAGTTCTAGTTCAGTTCTAGTTCAGTTCTAGTTCAGTTCTAGTTCAGTTCTAGTTCAGTTCTAGTTCAGTTCTAGTCAGTTCTAGTTCAGTTCTAGTTCAGTTCTAGTTCAGTTCTAGTTCAGTTCTAGTTCAGTTCTAGTTCAGTTCTAGTTCAGTTCTAGTTCAGTTCTAGTTCAGTTCTAGTTCAGTTCTAGTTCAGTTCTAGTTCAGTTCTAGTTCAGTTCTAGTTCAGTTCTAGTTCAGTTCTAGTTCAGTTCTAGTTCTAGTTCAGTTCTAGTTCAGTTCTAGTTCAGTTCTAGTTCAGTTCTAGTTCAGTTCTAGTTCAGTTCTAGTTCAGTTCTAGTTCAGTTCTAGTTCAGTTCTAGTTCAGTTCTAGTTCTAGTTCAGTACTAGTTCAGTTCTAGTTATACTTTAAAGTTCTAGTTTGGTTAAAGTTCAGTTCTATTTCAGTTCTAGTTCAATTCTAGTTCGGTTCTAGTTCAGTTCTAGTTCAGTTCTAGTTCAGTTCTAGTTCAGTTTTAGTTCAGTTCTAGTTCAGTTCTAGTTCAGTTCTAGTTCAGTTCTAGTTCAGTTCTAGTTCAGTTCTAGTTCAGTTCTAGTTCAGTTCTAGTTCAGTTCTAGTTCAGTTCTAGTTCAGTTCTAGTTCTAGTTCAGTACTAGTTCAGTTCTAGTTATACTTTAAAGTTCTAGTTTGGTTAAAGTTCAGTTCTATTTCAGTTCTAGTTCAATTCTAGTTCAGTTCTAGTTCAGTTCTAGTTCAGTTCTAGTTCAGTTCTAGTTCAGTTCTAGTTCAGTTCTAGTTCAGTTCTAGTTCAGTTCTAGTTCAGTTCTAGTTCAGTTCTAGTTCAGTTCTAGTTCAGTTCTAGTTCAGTTCTAGTTCAATTCTAGTTCAATTCTAGTTCAATTCTAGTTCAGTTCTAGTTCTGTTCTAGTTCAGTTCTATTTCAGTTCTAGTTCAGTTCTAGTTTAGTTCTAGTTCAGCGCCTTTAGTTTCCTCAGAAAATGGACTTTTATGTTTTCTCTCATAAAATCGATTTCTGGTGAGAATTATAAGTGATCACAGATTTTTACTCTTTTGGTCCTAGCGCCTTAAGTTTCCTTAGAAAATGGACTTTCATGTTTTCACCCAAAAAATCGATTTTTGGTGGAAAATATAAGTGATCACCGATTTTACTCTTTTGGTCCTAACGCATCTAGTTTCGTCAGATAATAAACTTTTATGTTTTCACCCAAAAAATCGATTATTGGTGGGAAATATAAGTGATCACAGATTTTTACTCTTTTGGCCCTAGCGCATCTAGTTTCGTCAGAAAATAAACTTTCATGTTTTCATCCAAAAAATCGATTTTTTGTGGGAAATATAAGTGATCACAGATTTTCACGCTTTTGTCCCTAACGCCTTTAGTTTCCTCAGAAAATCGACTTTTATGTTTTTACTCAAAAAATCAAATTCTGGTGAGAATTATAAGTGATCACAGATTTTCACTATCTTGGCCCTAGCACCTTTAGTTTCCTCAGAACTTTTATGTTTTCACCCAAAAAATCGATTTTTGGTGGGATATATGAGTAATCACAGATTTTACTCTTTTGGTCCTAGCGCTTTTAGTTTCCTCAGAAAATCGATTTTTGGTGGGAAATATAAGTGATCACCGATTTTCACTTTTTTGGCCCTAGCGCCTTTAGTTTCCTGATAAAATGGACCTTTATTTTTTCACCCAAAAAATCGATTTTTGGTTGGAAATATAAGTGATCACAGATTTTCACTTTTTTGGCCCTAGCGCCTTTAGATTTCTCAGAAAATGGACTTTTATGTTTTCACTCAAAAAATCGATTTCTGGTGGGAATTATAAGTGGTCACAGATTTTCACTATTTCGGCCCTAGCGCCTTTAGTTTCCTCAGAAAATTGACTTTTATGTTTTCACCCAAAAAATCGATTTTTGGTGGGAAATATAAGTGATCACCGATTTTACTCTTTTGGCCCTAGCGGTTTTAGTTTCCTCAGAAAATCGATTTTTGGTGGGAAATATAAGTGATCACAGATTTTCAATATTTAGGCCCTGGCACCTTTAGTTTCCTCAGAAAATGGACTTTTATGTTTTCACTCAAAAAATCGATTTCTGGTGGGAATTATAAGTGGTCACAGATTTTCACTATTTCGGCCCTAGCGCCTTTAGTTTCCTCAGAAAATGGACTTTAA